ACAGGGATGAGAAAAATCCAGTGGTGTGGATTTTGTCACATGATTACATTTTGGTTCTTTTCAACTGGTTTGGACCAAAGCAATCAGTGTGGTCTGAAAAGGACCCAAAGACGGCAGAAAAGGCTACAATGTATCATTAGACTTGAGACACAGTAGACCATGCTATTTTGCTGGCCCACTTGGAGCATTGTGTAATGATAAAAGGAAGTGCCCTGCATTGGTTTAAGTTTTATCTTGCCAATCGCAGTTAAAGTCATGATTGCTGAACATTCATCTGAGGTAGCCTTTTTGTCATGTGGTGTTCCTCAGAGATCTATTATAGCCCCTATTCTTTTTTCCTTATATATGCTTCCCCTGGGTTCTATTTTTTGAAAACATAGTCTGTCTTTCCATTGTTATGCAGATGACACTCAAATTTACCAAGTGGATTCAAGTGGATTCCCTGTCGGATGTGAAAGCCTAATTTTCTTTGAACTTTCTAGATTGAGAGTAAAACTGGATTGTGTCCGGCCCATCAAATTCTTCTAGGACACCACCAGTAGATCTTGGTGAATCTGGTTTTTCTGTGAAACCTTGTGTAAAAAATCTGGGTGTTGTTTTTGATGATGGCTTGAGCTTTGATAAACAGATTAACACAGTGGTCAAATTCTGCTTTTTTTTAGCTTTGACTTTTAAAAACAGTCAAACCTATTTTATCTAGAAAAAAATGTAGAAAAACATTGACCACATTACACCAGTTTTGCGCTCTTTGCACTGGTTGCCTGTGCACTATCGTGTCACTTTTAAAATCCTTCTCCTGGTTTAAATCTCTAAATGGCCTAGCTCCTCCCTACCTGTCAGACCTGTTGACTGAACATCAGCCTGGTCGGTCTCTTCAGTCATCTAACCAGAGACTATTATACATCCCAAAGTCAAAGCTGAAATGAAGGGGTGACCGTGCTTTTGCAGTAGCTGGTCCTACCTTGTGGAATTCTCTGCCCCTCTGTATTAGGTCTATTTCATCTCTGTCTGTTTTTAAGTCTAGGTTGAAAACTTACCTTTTTGATTTAGCATTTTATCAGTGAGAATTGTTTGTTTTTAGCTATAATAACTATTAGTGAGAATTGTTTGTTTTAGCTATACTTTTATACTTGTTCTTTGTGATTTGTGTAGTTCAGCACATTGGTAAACCTTTGGTTGTGTATAATAGTGCTATATAAATAAAATTGACATTGACATTTGTTGCCCCTGGTCCGGACCAAATTAGCCGAACCACAGATGTGAAAGCACCCTATTACATATTGAACCTCTTTAACATTATTAAATGTACATGCTGAATCATATGTGTTATTTTTGAGTCACAGTTCCGAGGTTCAATTTCAAACTAATTATTTTATTTTCAAGATCTGAGGTGAACTATATGCTGCTTTCAGTTGTATGGCAATACATGTCATGTAAAATACCATTTAAACTCACATTGTTAGCATTTACACTGAATAAAGCACATGAGGTGTACCTAAGGTGATCAGCGTCAGTCTTTAGTTGTTCAGCTGCAAGAAATAGAAGTAATTTCTAAAAATATACATTTCAGCTGTTGGTTAGAACAAAAACTAATTTTAATATGGAAAACATTCCTTCTATCACGTGCCATTGCTTTCATTTAGAACACGTTTTAAATCAGCCTTATTGGTCCTCAATCTGTCAACCTGGACTTGCGTATGTTTTGATCCAGGAATGCAATACCTAGTTCAACCACTGGGTGTAAAACTTACATGGGTGCTATCGCAGGTGCCTTTGAGGGTGCAGAACAATTCATCGACATTATGACATTCGTTGGGGAAAAAACTTGCAAACATGCAGAACAGCAATTTAGAGTTACACTGCTAGCGATCAGATTTATGTAAACTTGGCAAGCTGGATGCATTCTGTACTGCACAAAAATGCACTGATCAGGACACAGAACACAAGGCCGAAAAGTTGAACTGCGTTATAGCAAAGGACCACTGCATCCCATTTTTTAAAATGGGTTTTGTATGTAGTTTGAAAGTAAAGCCAGTGGTTTTCAATCATGCTCCTGAAACCTTAATTTTCAAATACAACCTGCTGCCTTGAAATTTCAAGTCAATAATTCAAGTTCAATAGTTGATAAGGCTACATCAGAATGACTTCTCGAGTGGGATTGAACAGCCCTCAGCTAAACTGGAGATTTTCAGTGAGGCAAATCTGCTAGCACCACTTTTCCATTTGCACTATTCCAGCAGACATTCCCAGGCCATCTCCATTGTTGGATTGGTCCAAGCACAAAAGGGGGTTCTGGGCCAGAAAGATTAATTTAACTTTAGCCCTAACAACCGGATGAACTCAGAGCCAGACAGTGAAGAAATGATGATGTTTCTATTGCAGTCACATTGCGCAATGCAACGACATTACACTATATTGCTCAGTAAGTCTAAATATGTAAAACTGAGCAAGAGAAGAATCCAGCAAGTAAGACAGTATGAAGTTCAAGAGTTTCAGAGTTCAGTTCAGTTGTCAGATAATGACAGACGAAAGTACCTAGATTACGTGAGCCAATGGTGCTAGAATCTAATGGCTCGTTTTCACTAAGTGGTACAGTATGATATGGTACGGGTCACCTTTATCAGGCTTGCGTTTCCACTACCAAGGTTACCCTTTTGGTGGGCGTGGTGTATGACAAAAAGTCGACGTCATTCTTGTTCGAATAAATGTCTACAGTAAAGCCGTACAGGTCATTCACAAATCATATAAGAAGCCCTTCTCACAAAACAGACGCTTTATACACATAAATACTTGTTTATAAATGTTTATTACTAACTTTTCTATGAACAGGATTTGATTATAACTGCAGATCAATGACAGTGCGAAATAGCCTACTGTAACATCTGAAATTGTATTAAATAAATAAATGAACATATATAAACACAGACAGACCCTTAAAGTCACCGATACGCTACCAACTACAGAAAAACTTTACACAGCATATATTTAGTCCTATTTAGGTTTATAAACATCACGCAACATAGCCCACAGTCAGTGCAAACCTCTAATCTGTGTCTGTAATCTTCTCCAGCATATGTAAGCTTTGTTAGAGAGTAATACTATCATTCCAAGTTCATAATAGTCCACAAGGCGATAACAAACATGGCAGTTTGTTCGTGATTCAGGTTGCTGAAACAATTTGTTCCTGAGTTTTGTCGGGCTTCTCCTTTGTTTACGCTTCACTCTCGCGTTTATCCTTTTCTTTCTGAATGGATCAGATGACAGAGACACTTAAATAATTCCACACACGTTATTTTTTAGCCCAAGAAGATCGTTTTATTAAATATAGACGTGATTGCGAGCTCCCGGAAGAAGGCAAAAACTGCTCGCACCTTTCGATGGCATTTTAAAACAACAACAGGACACGACAGATATGGTTCTTCTTGGATTTGTGTCTGTACATCAAGATGACGACAAGGTTTGCTTGATCTTGGGTCATTCTTGGCTCGTTATTATATGCATATAGTTTTAAGGTGTAATCTCTCGGCTGTTTATAAAAACATGGTGGTTCTTTTGTTTTCATTCTAGGCTAGCTCCACATGAGCTTGTGACGTATCTCTGTAACCAATCAGCGTTCAGCAGCACGTGTAGCTCCACCTTTTGGTACCCTTTCTCGTGTTTGGTACCCTTTCGAAAGGGTGCCAAAAAAGTGATATGGTATGGTTCGGTACACCTTTTGATAGTGGAAATGGTCGTAAAAGCGTACTAAACCGAACTGTACCGTACCGTACCACTCAGTGAAAACAGGGCATAATGGTGCTGTTCTGTGCAATACAGTAGATAGTGTGTATAACAGAAAATAAAAAACTGATGTCATTTGAGCACAAAGATGGTGTCCCTTTCGGCATGCATAAGTGAAAATTCTGTCAACCAATAATGTCCTGCAGTGAGTCCATCTTCTCCTTTTGGGTAGCTGATTACTGTGCTGCTGTAGGGACTCCAATGGAAGGGTGCCAAAAGGTAACAGAATCGTTACCTATGCCTTGTTTCTACTGAGTGGTACAGTTCAGTTTAGTATTAATTAGTATTTACTGATCAAACCAAATTCTCTTTCTTTTTGTTTAAAAAGACGCAACAAGTGATCACAAAAAGAGAAAATGGCACTAGCCTTCCTCGTATACAACAATAGAGGACACATAGCAGATTCTCTTCTTGCTTCTTTGCTGTTTGTCACATAACATTTAGCTTTTTTTGAGTCCGGGATAACCATAACTCATTGCTGGATGCATTCGGGTGTCATGTATGCATGACAGCATGTATGCTGTGTAATTCAAATGTCACTTCCTGTGTTGTTATTTCTCTGGCTTGTAACACACACTGGTGACTACTCATGTTTATTTATATAGCGCTTTTCACAATGTAGATTGTGTCAAAGCAGCTTAAGCAGTTTTCTTGTAAACTCCAGATTTCCGAGTTGAAGTTTAGTTCAGTGTGGTTTAAGTTTCACTACTGAAAGTTCAAATACTGTAGTGCAAATCCACCAAAGCGCAGCTCCCCAAGTCCTGATCCAAGTAAAAAAACTTCACCAATTGACAAAGTGAAGAGAAAAAAAACCTTGAGAAGAGAGACTAGGCTCTGTTGGGCACGACCATTCTTTTATGGCCAAACTTCCTGTGTGGAGCTCCAGTCTAGACGCCAGAAGCTGGATGTCCATCGTGGAGAAGCTGCAGGCGTTTTTGCTGTACTAGGTATCCTTGTGAAACGGTGTCAAAAAAGTGAGGATACAGTTCCATTTTTGCTACCTTTGACAGTGGAAATTGACAGCACTGTACTAAACCGCTCAGTGGAAGCAGGCCATTGGGTACTATTTAGGTTCCATTCACAACTTTTTAAAGAACATGAAATTGTGTTTTTTTAGAAACTATTCACAGAAATGTTCTTTTGGGAGCCTAAAATAGTTTGTCTATTGAAGTTATTTGACAACGACAAACAGTGATTATTTATGTTTTAACAATGCTTAGTCTTTAGAGGAAAACCTTCTAGGCCAAAGTGCCACACAAGGAGAGCAAGGAAGTGAGCAAATTGCCTCTGAAATCTACATCACCCAGCCTGGAAAGAACAGCCTGGTCACCACACTCAAGCAAACGGTGGCTAAAAAAGGAAACCCAAGCATGCTTGCACCTGGTAAATACAGCAATGTGTATCTGAGTACTTTTGTACTAAACGTCACTTGAAAAACCTTGAAGGTCACTCCATTCTCTCTCACAGGTTATGGTGGGCCTCTGAAAGAGGTTCCTCCAGAAAAGTTCAATGTCACTGTGATTCCCAAGTCTTACCAATCGCCATGGGAGAAAAAGCCCATTGACCGTGAAACACTTCTGGCTACTCTCAATGCCCACCTGCCTGAGCCACCTTACAAACTCACCCCAGCCAACTACAAATGCTTTAACAGGTACTCAATGAAGGGTTAGTTCAGGAAAAAAAAAAAAAAAAACTTCTGGTCACACTGTATTTTGATGGTCCGTTTATTGAATTTAAGTTACATTGCATCTACATGCCAACAAATTCTCATTAGATTATAAGTAGACTGTTAGGTTGGGGTTAGGGTTAGTGTAAGTTGACATGTACTTGCGAAGTTCTTTTAGTCAGTTAAATGTCTGTTTAACAGCAGTATCAACAGATATTAAGCAGACAGTGTAGTAATATTCAAAAGGACCATCAAAGTAAAGTGTTACCAAACTTTTATCATTCACCCTTGACTTGTTGCAAACATGAACACACTGTTGAACAAAAAATATATTTAGAAGAATATTAGTAACAATTGACTTAAATAGAATTAGTTTTTTCTGCAATGGATTTCACTGGTTATAGGCTTCCAATATTCTTAAAATATCTTCACTCAACAGAACCAATATATATATATATATATATATATATATATATATATATATATATATATATATATATATATATATATATGTGTGTGTGTGTGTGTGTGTGTGTGTGTATGTATGTATATATATTTAAATGTTTTAAGGAGTGAACAAATATAGCTCTCCTTTATCCTCAATACCCATGACTGAGAAGCCCTAAAGCAAGGCACAAAACCGATATCACAACTAGTGCGCTAACCTGTGGGTTAAATGCAAAGGACAAATTCTCAATTTTCCACACTAGTCAAATATTTGTGCTATAAATCTAAATTAAAGTGTTTAATTAAACAAACTGTACACAATCTTCACACATAGCAATTGTCCTCCAAAAAAGTGGGAAATAAGAAACGACATGAGACATTGTTGGTAACATTACACCAAATAAACCCAAATACATCTTAGCATGTCTGGTGTGGACAGGCTGCCTGCCATAAATTGTTGGTGTTAAGGTCAAGCCTTAAAACAGAACCCGCAGCTTGGATTACAAAATCCTACGCTGATCCTGGCTCCCACATTAGTGTGTGGTTGAAAATGACTGAACTCCATAGGGAAAACTAGACTTAGCTTTTTAGCAATTGAAAGAGATTAAAAGAGTAATTGTCATTCTCCTCAGAGCTCCTATACCGTTTGGTGGGACAGCGGGCACCGCGAGGACTCTGCCTCTTCCTGGCTTTGAGATGCTGCAAGCTCACACAGAGCCATGTCTGACCTGGGACAGGATGTGCCATCGGCCCAATTTTAACCGTACACCACAGTGTTGGGGGAGCCAGTACACCATAGAGTCTCCAGATTTGTAAAACCGAACTACTTACCTTTATCACTGAACTAGAGATAATGAGCTTTGAAGTAAAGACTGTTAGCTGAGCCATTTTGAGCAAACAAATGCCAAATTAAGGTTTACATATATTGTCATGCTATAACAAGGTTTACATAAACATTTATACAACATTTGAAAATGTGAAGCTTCTTTAATGTAACGACAAGCAGGACAGCCATACTTAAAAAAAAGAAAATGTGTAAAATAATTCAGGACGATACACTTTGTACTTTATATTATCAGGGGAAGAGAGCAACACTAGTGTGAACTGTGGTTTGAATTCTGAATATTCTAGAGGTGTAGGACAATAAAAGTTTCAAAAACCCAAATAAAGTCTTCAGGTGATTGAAATAGTCAATAGTGCCCCCATTTGGTGACTGTTGGTCACTGCAACCACTGCATGTTATGCATTTCATATTAATGCACAAAAAAAATTAAACAGACAAAAAAGATGACAGAAAACATCAAGGGGTAGAAATAAAAAACGTTAAATTTTTTTCCTCATGGTTTGAATACTAAGACAGGCGCTGGTGTTTTTTTTTTTTCGTAACGCATTTCCATCTTAAACACTTGCTCTTTAATGACTACGATAAGCATTTTGAGAAATGAGGGCAGCAGTGAAATCACTCTGGGTCAGATGTCCAGCAGTAAGGGCACTAAACAGTGAGGTAGCTGGATGACTATCTAGGGGCCTCCATGGCGACTGGCGTGGGCACCCATCCTCTGAGGATCCTGAGATGGGTAGTGGACCTGTCCGGGTGGTCTCAGGGCCATTGGAGGTGGCACCGGCGGGGCCATGGGGTCCATAGTGTGGAACATAGGAGGACCAAATCCTGGAAGGAACAGATGAGGTTATTGTGGTACATGACGTGGTTCACCATTTATTTATTACAGGTCAAAGAAAAAGAAATGAGGAAGTGAGTGAGGTGAAACGCACCAGGTGGAGGAGGCATGGTCACCCCGGGTGGAGGAGGAAGACCCAGGTTCATGACAGCAGGGGAGGGTGTGGGAGCCAGATTGAAGTAATTGGTGGACGCATCTTCATCAGAGACAGGTGGTGGAGGCAGAGCTGTTAAAAAACAAGGGGAAAAAATAATTAATATTTTAGCCCTGACACGTTTTGGAAATGTTTTTTTGAAACTATTGACAATTTAAAAAAAAAAAATCTATTTAAGCGTACATGATTAAACAAATAAATAAAAAAGCAACAAAACTGTAAATTTGTATTTACTATTGTGGCAGGTCAGTTTCAAAAATAAATGTTTCTTATATTTCTTTTAATAAATAGATTAAAATAAAAAAAAGATTAAACTTTTATTCATTATTAGTAATAATAAATTTAATTTGAATTTATTATATTAAAATGCATTTTAATTAGATCAACTTTAGAAGAGAAACTAATAATTTTTTACCATAAATAAAAACAATATAAATAATTGTAATAGTTATAATATGTAAAAAAAATGTATGAAATACACAGCATATAAAATATTAAAAATGATAATAATAATGGATATATTCATACAATTCACAATTTAATAGCAGTACATTTAATCTTTGTTAGTAAATTTTCATCTTAATTTTTATTACATAAATAATATTGATCATTTATTTTAGTTGGGACTTTAGGTGAGACTTTTTGTTTTATTTATTTTAAGTAGAACTTTTTAACATTCTGTAAGAGGTCTACAGATGAAAAATACGAATTGTTGACTAATTCTGGCACATTTTACAGTCATGTTTATTAATTTGCATTAACCCTGTAAACAAATAAACTAAATTTTAATTTACTAACATGACAGACCAAGCTCCAAAAACCAATAGAAAAGGAGATTTATATTTTTCATTCTAAACTGTTGACCTAAATTAATATTAGTGCACAATAACATGGCTATTAGTGACAGACAGCACATACCACCAGGAAGCCCTGGCACCGGCTCCAGTCTGATGCCACTCTCCGTCACCCCGTCCTTCTCTCCTTTCCCTCGTGCCGCCTGGGACCTGAAAAACATAGAGCAATATTACAACTCTGACATCACAAAAATAGGACTGCCTAAACAACAAGGTTTACAGTGTGATCCTTCACTGACCTGCCCCATTTAACATTAAGACGACGTCCATTGATGATGAGTTTATTGAAGGACTTCTCCGCAGCTGTTTCTGCAGCCTGTCGAGTGGCAAACTGAATAAAAGCACACTGCTGCCTCTGGACGATAGTGATGGTCCGAATCTCTCCAAACTGGTAAAAGTGATTCCTTTGTGAGGCAAAAAAAAAAAAAAAAACAGGAATCTTAAATCAAGAAATTAATACATAATTTTTTTTTTTTTTTTTTGCAAGAGCTCCAGATTCTGAGGTATTTTCACTTACATGTTAAATAAAATTAAAAGAACATTCTTTTTTGGAAATAAACTCATGTTACAAGTACCCAAAAGTTAAACAGTTGAGTTTTACCATATTTGAATTCATTAAGCCAATTTACAGGTCGGGCGGGAGCACTTTTAGCTTAGTTTAGCATACAGTTGAAGTCAGAATTATAAGCCCCGCTGACTTATTAGCCCCACTGTTTATTTTTTTCCCAATTTCTGTTTAACAGAGAGAAGATTTCTTCAACACATTCTAAACATAATACTTTTAAAAACTCATTTCTAACAACTGATTAATTTTATCTTTGCCATGATGACAGTAAATAATATTTGACTAGATATTTTTCAAGACACTTCTACACACCTTAAAGTAAAATTTAAAGGCTTAACTAGGGGCAGGTTGGGGTTATTAGGCAAGTTATTGTATAACGATAGTTTGTTCTGTAGACTATCAAAAAAAAATATAGCATTAAGGGGCTAATAATATTGTCCTTATAATGAGTTCTAAAAAATTAAAAAACTGTATTTATTCTAGGGCTGCTCGATTTTGGGAAAAATCATAATCATGATTATTTTGATCATAATTGTAATCACGATTATTCAAAACGATTATCAGGTGAAGTCAAAATTATTAGCGCTTTTGAGAATTTTTTTAAAATAAATATTTCCCAAATTATGTTTAACAGAAGAATTTTTACAGTATTTTCACAAATATTTTTTTCTTCTGGAGAAAGGCTTATTTATTTTATTTTGGCTAGAATAAAAGCAGGTTTAAATATTTTGAAACTCATTTTAAGGTCAATATTATTAGCCCCCTTAAGCAATATATTTTTTGATTGTCTGCAGAACAAAAACCACTGTTATACAAGGACTTGCCTAATTACCCTAACCCTATTACCCAAATTAAGCCTTTGAATCGCACTTTGAATCTGAATGCTTGTATTTTGAAAAATATCTAGTAAAATAATGTCCTGTCATCATAAAAAATATAAAATAAATCAGTTATTAGAAATGAGTGATTAAAACTATTATGTTCAGAAATAAGTTCTGAAGAAAAAATCTTCTTTCCATTAAACAGAAATTGGGGGGAAGGGTTGCTAATATTCTGGCTTCAACTGCATATATACACACTTATTTTCCACCCTGCAAACGAAAGAGAAATAAATACAATATAATAAGATATAAAACAAACTGTGCTTAAAGCATCTTTACTGTAAGAAATAAACTTCAGCTACAGCAGTCCTTCAGTCAAGAGCAGCAAGCGATCGAAATGGGATTTTCGATTAATTGCACAGCCCTAATTTATTCTAGCCAAAATAAAACAAGTTAGACTTTCTCCAGAAGAAAAAATATTATCAGACGTGCTGTGAAAAAGTCCTTGCTCTGTTAAACATCATTTGGGAAATATTTAAAAAAGAATTAAAGAACAAATTAAAAAGAGAGGCTAATAAATCTGAAAATTGTATATCATTAAATTGGATTAGACCGTTAGCATCACACTCAAATGATCAAAATATTTCAGTCATTTTCCTGTTTAAAGCTCGTCTCTTTTGTAGTAGCATTGTGTACCAAGTATGAGGGAAATTGTAAAGTTGTTTTTTTCTAAGCCAACATGGTTATGAACAATATACTCCCAAACAAGCATAATAATCAAGAGATTTTTGCCGTACAATGTCCTAATTAAGAACCTGTGTCACATTTCTGGGTTTCTCAGTAGCAAAAGTCATCATAGTTGGGTAAACAGAGCACACTAAAATGAAGTACAACAAATAATTTTTTTACAATCCTATTTGCTAAAACAATTATAAAAAAACTGTGTCATCAAGATGTTCAGAAAAAGGATTAAGAAGTGTGAGACTGATATGCAGAAAGAAAACAGAATGTTAAATTTATTCTCCCCCATAGACGCTGCATCAGAAACGCCTCGCATAAGTGCTAATTTGTTGCTAATTTGTTTTTGAAAGTAATGTGATGCAAAGATAAAATAATATATACATAAACACTAGGGATGTAACGGGACGGTTCATCCATGACCAGTACGGATCATAACACACAGTTTAAAACACACGTGAATCGCAGATTAATAACTTTTTTCGAACTTGTAGATTAATCCAGCATTTATAACGATTGCAGAGAGATTGCCTCCCACGCCATTTAAATCACGTCTATGAAAGAACTTTGGCTTCCCAGTAAAATATCATGTTGACGGAAAAAAGTTTTGGTGGGACCTACTTTAATGCTTGCTTAGAATATTATTTAAAGGTGTTTTTTGTCACTGTTTGTTTAGCCTGCATTAATGCATTCAGTGTAAAGCTGCACAATTAAACATTAAAAGATTGTGATCTCAATTCAAACCCGAGCAACATGAGTAATAAATGATAATAATTTGTAGGGATGCACAATATATCGGAGGCCATATCGTTATTGGACGATAAATGCTATTTTTAAGATTATCGTTATCAATCCGATGTCTAAATTAGGCCGATATCTTTAAGCCGATACATTACGTAATTGTTGCCGCGCACGCGTGGGCGGAACATGTTCAGACTTGTTCATGGATCTCTCCTCACACTGATTATTCCTTCAAAGTGTGTCCTTTCTTCATGTGGTATTGTTGTGCGTTAACAACTCAGTAAGTAACCATTATCCTTATCATTGTAGATATGTTTGATTGAGTGCCATTGTGTATTTTGCTTCAAATCGCCTCAGGAAATAATATTACATATGAAAGCCTTTCCTGCTCTGTCTCTTTGTTGTGTTAGAGATAGCAGGGAGATTTACTTATTAGTCCAGGGCCGAATAATATTAGTTTCGGGGTTATTTCTTTTAGTTGCAGCCGGTGAATGAACGAGGACCCGAAAAAAGCGCTTCTCTTTTCTGTCTCTCCCTCTTCGCTTCACACACACATACAAACACACCAAACTGACCTGCACACGTGACGCGCTAAACAAAAACTTTACGGAAGGTTTTTAATCTAATATAATTATTTGTTATTATCAACGCGTTGCTTCCTATGTCTTGCTGATGTAAGATTGTATTCAGTTTGATCGGAATATTCATATTATAACAAGCGCGCGAGAGCTTTCACCGCACGCGCGCACACACACACACACATAGATCTGACAGCCTTCACACACACACAGATCTTGAGCCTTCACAAATCAACAGGGGAGAGCCTAGGTGCACCGGTCACTGAATCCAGCATAGGGCCACACGTTCTGTCTTTATATTCTGCTCTGTGTTTGTCATAAAGTCATCTGAGCTCAATGATCAGGTTTGTATCAAAATCCGAGGGCAAATCTGCGCCCTCACAGCGGTTTATCATAAACTTTTCATCAATCATTTTCCCCGCGATTGACAGCAAGAACGAACACAGAAGCGTTGATGCTACATGTGTTCAAAAGAATCTAAAACCCAAATAGGATAAATTTATGTCGCATTTTTTAAAATAATACATTTAGTATCTAGCTTTTCACTTGTACTGTGGCTCTGAACTGTCAAAACACCTCTAAAAAAGGCTTTTTCGGACATGACATATTTGTACACATGTACATTACTGTAACCCGTTATATTCAAGAACATTTGAGCTGGTTTTAGTCCTTAGCTCTTTCGTTTTCATCTCATTTAAAATATATTTAACTTGCTTGTTAATTAAATCCCATTTTGTTATTTAACCTTTTTAATGTTATGCAACAGTCAATTTGCATGTTAATTTGCTATGAAGAAAATTAAATAATGTATTTTTTGCATGCTGATTTGTGTGAAATCGTGAATATAGGTCTATATAATCACCTTGCAATTTTGAAATCATAGCTTTTTTGCTTTGAGTATAGACTATCCAGTTCAAAAGAGCGGAGTTTCAGCTTTTATGAAGTTTGCTGTGTAAAAATATAACATTTTGAAATATTTATAATTATCGGCCAACATATATCAACTATCGGCCTCCAAGTCTGAAGAATTATCGGTTATCGGTATCGGCCAAAAAATCCCTATCGGTGCATCCCTAATAATTTGCATACGTTTATTAATCCTTCAAAGCGCTACATTCAAATCTGCATTTGACTGAGGGAGATTCTGTTTTCACACTTTTTTTTTTTTACAAACAATCAAATGGCACTGGGAGAACAGTTTATAGTTTAGATATAAAGACTGATGTTTATGGAAGATTAAAATCTCCGTTTAATGGAACTTGACGCTGGTGAATGTAACAATTACATTGTGTAACCAATGGGTGGCGACAAACAACCATTAAAATTAAGTCACTGAATAGGTTTTTAAAAATGATTACTTGTCATGAAACAAGTTTTATGTGTGAATTGTAGAATCTTTAATTGAAAATAAATATATGTTGTACAAGATGTCAGATTTCTATATTTAGCATTACCAAACAGTACCAAAGATCCTTTTTCATATTGAATATTTGTACTTTTTTCAGTTTGTTTATTAAAATTACAGGTACTAACTTCTGTTTGTTAAAACCAATGCAGTAATATTTTTGTATAAATAGAAAAGCAGATGACATTTGTCTCTTTTTTGCTAATCAGAAAAATGGTCTGATCTGTGACTCAAAAACCGTAGTGTGTATAAATGGACTCAAATCATTTGAAGTAAACAAATAAAAAAGCAAAAAGTTCATTAAAACATATAAATTATGCCCATGTAGAGCCTAAAACTTTATTCAAGCTGATTTAAACAAAAAGTTGTCTCAAATACAGCTTTACAGGCCCGAAAACCAACTTACCGGAGCTCCGAGTCTGTGACGTTTTCTCCCAGGCCTCCAATATAAAGTGTGGTTATGGACTTGTCGTCCGGTACGTCCAGTCTGGGCATGGTGGAGGCTCGCATCAGCAGTTTATTAGCCACAGGATCGTTAATTCCATAGTATCGGTCCTTAATGTTCTGATCAGCCAGGGGGTCATCTGGATCAGTGGGTTTTTCATGCCTGTCAGATTCAAGCAATGCATTTTAACCCAAACATAATCAAAATTCATAAATGCTCATACATATATTCACATCTTTCATTAAAATATCATAAAAATGTATGAGGTTTATCCAGTAGGCGATCTAATGCATCTGAAAGCATAAACAAAATCATACCAAGACTAAGTGTTTTCCGACACAGCAAAGGTGGAAATGCTGTGTCATCTTTTATTGCCAAATCCAAAGTATCTAACATCAGCCAAATCTCAGCAAAATTGCTTAGACATAAAATCAGTGTTGCGTTTAGATGCTTTAATAAAGTAAATAATTACTAATTATGTAAGATTGTATTTAAATTAGTTTTTTAATGACCTTTTGTGTAAAGTAATTTATTAACTTAAATCAATGCCTCCTAAAATCCCTATAAATATCCACACACAAGTTAGCGTTTTAGCTTTATTAAAAAAATTAAAATAAAAAAATATTTAGGTTAAATACTGTATGCATCAAAACACAAAATTTTTTAAAACAATGACACAATATTTCGTACCTAACCCACATAACTGTCAGACTATTGAACCTTTTTGATGATGGATGGATGGATTGATCTAAACTATTGTGTAGCAAAATTGTTGTAGTCTAAATCTGCCATTTAACAATAAAGGTTTCTTAAGCGTTTCTCACCTGTACGGACACTCTTCTCCTCTTTTGCACTCTCCTTTAACCCAGAAGGAACAGATGTGTGGTCTGTTCCTCTTGTAGTACGGTGTGGTGCGCGCCAGTTTCAGCAGCATATCACTGCTGCTCGGAGCCTTTCCAAGCAAACCCACAGGTCTCGTGCCATCAGAGTTGGCAATCTAAAACAAAATATTTAAATCATTTCAAACGTGGACACTTCAAGGAAAAATAATTAAATAGTTGAGTATTTGCATTAGACTTGATCTATCTGGAAAGTTTGATCAGAAAGAATAAAAAAAAAATGTAGATAAAATTGATGAAGCAACCCATAAAAGTTTATTGTGGATTATTTTGTCGAAGTCAAAGCATTGAAATTGCAATGTGATGGACAGATGAATATTACAGTTGTCAGTAGGAATGGGTAAGGAAACTCGGTACTTTATCAGTGCTAAAATATAAAAGACCGAAGTATCGATAAGCTCTGACATTAATGGTTCTGCTTTCGCTACTGGACAATTATTGCTGAGTAAACATTACTTACCGTTGCATAATTTAATTGACCAACCTTGTTTGCACAGTTGGCAATCCCACAGGAGAAATGCTTGTGTTTTCGGCAAGCGGGTCTAGTATAAAAGCCTTCACAGTTCTCAGCTGTGCACGCGCACTCAGCGGAGACTTGCGCTAAGCACACACACAGAGCTTGCGACACAGACTTTAGCACACACAGCTCGTAAGCTTGCTGAGTGAACCAAACGGGTTGTATTTCCTGAGTGGACAGCGACAATGCCCGTTGCAACAAACACTACAAGTTGTTTTCTTGTAGAAACGAAAACGCAAGCAATCTGGCTAAGTTAAAGTATCTTTCAAAAGTGCATTAACTGCAGAAAGACAAATTATGTTTTTGACTGCCAAGCTATTAACGGTAGCATTACATCATCCACATCATTATGCCAGCAGTCAATCACCTAAATTAGTATAATATGAATAGTTAAATAAACGCAGAGAGGTTACAATAAAAACAGTATTTTTGTTTCTGCAGTAGACTTAATAAATCTTAAACCTTAAAAATGCTTTTACGTCCGCTGTAATTTACAAATATAGCCTATGAATAGCCTAATAATAAACTAGGCTTATTAAGTAAGTTTATTTTTACATTGCAAGATGCTCTAAAACTTTATTAATACATACATAAACATTTATTTAATTAATAACATAATAAAATTTATTTAATAACATAAACGTTATTTAAAAATCTTAAACATTATCTCATTTAACTGCATTTAGAAACTCAAAGATGGTATTTTCAACTGCAGGGAGCACAGGAAACCAAGAAAGATCCCGACTTCTGCCAGAAAAGTCAAACATGTTGATTTTTCTCCAGAAGAGAGGTTAAAAATTAGTCATTTTCCGTCAAGCCATTGCATGTTCTTTAACAGGAAAAAAAAGGATTTATTTATTTTACTTATTGGTTTCATTTTATTTTACATTAAAAACATAATAATAAAACAAAGTGTTAAGTCTGTTAAATTTTTGTTCTGATTTTCTTAAAAAAAAAAAAAAAAAAAAACACTGCAAAAAGTAGCGATAAGAGAACTGTTAAAGTACCGAACCGATAAGTGGTATCGATAAAAGTAGTAATACCATTAAAACCTTAACGATACCCATCCCTAGTTGTCAGCCAACATTTTATAGACTTATTACACACCTGGGATGAGATTAAGCAATTTATGCAATTCTGTACTGAAGCATTGCAAATTGTGGTACTTTAATACACTCTTTCGCAAAGTTTTTTCAAATTCTATAATAACACTTTTTTTTATCCTTTTCCATGACTTTACATCATTTTACCAAAATTAGAATTACACCCACAGTACATTCATTATTTACCTCCAACTGTTTTATATCACATTAAAAAACTGCAATCCAAAGGCTTTCTTTATTACAATAGTTATGACTAAATATTTTAATATGAGATTAAGTTTGATGTTTTATTCAATATTGAAAGTGTGAATTTAGTGTATTGTGTTTGATTATGAGCTTTTATTTGGCGAAATTTGACCCTCCGACCATACACAAACATCACACATTTCAGGGGAAGGCAGGTCAGTCAAGAGGTAGCATAGAAAAATAAGAAATCTGTTTAAATCATAAAAATGATCAGTTCTACAGAGGTATACCATTTAATAATTAAGAAAACAAAAATAGAACTGTACCAGATTGGTATCATCAGCCAATACAAAATAACTTAAATTTGAAAAATGATATTGGTGGAAATCCTTGATCTTTTATTTGTATGTGTATGTGGACGTTACAATTAGTGTGGGAATCTTTAGACTTCACGTTCTAATTTGATTCCAAAACGATTCTTGACCTACATTTTTTTTTAACAACCTTACATTAACCAGAATTGGAGTTTCTATGCTTGTTTATGACTGTAATCCATGCATGACAGTGCAGCCATCTTAAAAAATATTTTATAAAAATGATATTCAGGATGAACAAGCTCTGAACGTAACATTTAAATGCCAGATTATGAAGACAAAAACAGCTTTTATTCCAGAAAGACAACATAATTTTTTTAGCTTGTTTATAACCTTTTTAACAAATAGTATTTTGTATTAAAATTATATTTGGAAATTATATTAGAATTGCTTTCAACAGGGAACTAGATTTAAAACATAGTAGTGCACTATGCCTAAATTTCAGCACTTACTTTAACAGTCAAATCCCATGTGACATACAATTCTGCTATGTCAATGCATCACACATGCACCGTCAATAAATATTATTTTTTTTGTTTCTAGCTTACGACAACACCATTGTGAACTAATCTGATTCAATTTTAAACTTTTGAGAATAAGCATGGAATGATAACCGTTTTTAAGGTATACCACTGTATGGAAAAGTCAAGGTTTTAAAACAGCTCTAATTTTTCTGCTATACCATTGCTATGGTAAATGTACATTTGTTTTTGGGTTTTTTTGGACAACAGTAGTTCCAACAGATATCAATAAAGATATCCAAAGAGGTTGTTTATAATTATTAAAAAAACCTGTGTTTTTGAAACTAATGAAAACAGCAGAAGTGAGTCATTGACAATGAGTCATTATTATTATTATTATTATTAATTAGCCTGACATGTTTACTGTACCACAATATTTTAAATGATTCTTATAATAAAATATATTGTGTTCAAATGGGAAACTTTTTTTTGTTTTTGTTTATTACCCAGACATTTAAAAAGAATATATTTTAGAGCAGTAATAACAATACTGTGAAACCATAAAATTTTTATCCAAGGTTACCATACCAACTGATTTTTTTCTCCAACCCCTGTGTAACAATATACAGTAATAAATATGTAATATACTAACACATTACCTCTCTTTCCATATTCTGAGTGTAATACTCCTTATTCACATCAGATCGCGGTACTTCATCTTTAACGGAGAGCCCAGTGTCACGAACCTGAATGGGCAAACCTGTACAAAACATAAATACATTTATAAAATCTACAAACTTGCTGCAGTTTAGACACATGTATCTGTTAAAAATATTGTTTATTAATGCTCTCATTGAAAACAGACATTAAGGTGCTGCATTTAGTTAGAAATTTTAGTTTGTGTCAAGACTAATGCAAGCTTCACTAACTAACTTATTTCTTATTTTAGGAATTTCTTTCTTCTGTTGAACAACACTAAATATTCTGAAGAGTATTTGAAAAGAAAAACAGTAATTTACATCCAAAGTAGAAAAATACTATGGAAGTCAATGGCTGTTTTGTTCCAGCATTATTCAGCATTATTCTTCCTTTGTGTTCAACAGAAGAAAGAAAGAAACTCAAACAGGTTAGGAACAAGTGGAGAATGGGTAAATTACAGACTTTACATTTTTGGGTAAACTATGCCTTTAAAGGCTGAAATTGTAGAACAGAATACATTACCATATTCCAGATCTAGGAGGCAGGTCTGACAAACGTTCTTCATTTTACTACAGGTCTGACACACTTCTGTCTTCTTAAAGCGCATCCTGACTCCAGGACACCAGCGGAAAACTGTGAAGGGACGTGCACAGATCTGCAGGAAATAAAGTATTGAGAATAAAATAACAAGCTGCATTTGCAAAATGTAAAGCAACAAATAAGTAGTGTCACTTTTCTGAATAGTTCACACTCTGTCATCAGTTAATTTTCATGATTTTGCAGTTATTAAAAAAATGTGTGCAAATAATGAGGAAAAAAAGTTAGTGGCCATTTGTATATAAAGCAAAGCAAAGACTAAAAGAGGTTTTCCAGGCAACAAAAAGAAAACTGTAATACAGTTTTTTCTAATGCTGTATTAGGGCTACTCGATCATGGGAAAAATCATAATCACGATTAGTTTGGGCATAATTGTAATCACAATTATTCAAAACGATTATCAGTTGAAGTCAAAATAATTACCCCTCCTGTGAATTTTTTTATCTATAAATATTGCCCAAATAATGTTTCAAAGCAAGGAATTTTTCACAGCATTTCCAATAATATTCTTTCCTCTGAAGAAGGGCTTATTTTGTTTTATTTTGGCTAAAATAAAGCAGGTTTAAATATTTTGCAACCTATTTAAGGGCAATATTATTAGCCCCTTTGAGCAATATATTGTTTTGATTGTCTGCAAAAGAAACCACTGTTATACAATGACTTGCCTAATTACCCAAATTAAGCCTTTGAATCGCACTTTAATCTGAATGCTTGTTTTTTGAAAAATATCTATTCAAATATTATATACTGTCATCATAGCAAAAATAAAATAAATCAGTTATTAGAAACGAGTTATTAAAACTATAGTTTAAAATATGGTTGAAAAAAATATATTTTCATTACACAGAAATGGGGGGGAAGGGTCGCTAATAATTCAGGAGGGCTAATAATTCTGCCATCAACTGTATATATTCAGTTATTTTCCTCACTGTAAATAAGGAAAGAGAAATAAATATAATAGAACAAAATCATAAACCAAACCGTGCTTTAAGCATTTTCACTGTAAGAAAAAAAACTTTATTATTGCTACAAAAGTCCTTCAGTCAAAAGCAGTCAGGGATTTTCACCTTTTTTTGCTTAATTAAAGATAACAACAGTCAGCAGCAGGAATAATGCGCGCTGTCATGTTAAGAGCAGAACGGTTCTGTTCATGGTTTCTCGGTTCTCTTTCATGTGTCTTGATCCTCAACTCATTTGTTTAGTACACAAATGAAGGTTAATATGAATAATCACCAAACACCGCGTTTTGATACCTATTTGACCATTAAATCGCTCACATTTAGATGACTTT